GTCCAAATTTAAATATTACTGTGTGTGTGCACATGCACACCTGTGCGTACACAGGAACCTGTGAGCCATAGCACATGTGCAGAAGTCAGAAAATAACTTTGAGAGTTGTTTCAACACATGGGGCTTGGGGATCTCAGGTTGTCAAGGTTGTATCAAGCACCTTTACCTGCAGAGCCATCTTTTTCACTCACTGGACCTGAACCTTGTCTCTTGTCTGCACCTTTGTTTCCTTCTTGTTTTAATACTTTCTCACCTCTCTGGCTTTCCCCTTCCTTCCACCCTTCCAAAATCATGTGTTTAACCATCACCAGTGACTGCAAATCACTAAGGTGATTACTCAGTTTTCGAAGTCCCGCTTTCTCCATGTCAGACTCACAGGGATAAGTTTGTTTAAAATAATGTTTAAAACATGGGGAGAGTGAGCTCAAACTTAAAAAAATCAAATATTTACAGTACAATCCATTTTGAATCTCATCATTCATTCATTTAGTCAATATTTAGTGAGTGTCAGCCTATTTTTAGGCCATGGAGACCTAGCAATGAAAAAGAAATACAGTCCTGGTGAAATTTGTGCTTCATAGTGTGAGCAAAAAAAAAAAAAAAAAAAAAAAAAAAAAAAGACACACAAACCTACCTTGGGGAGGAGGTTGAGGATCCAGCCCCAGTTGGGTAAAATGCTTAGGACAAGAGTTCACATACCTAGTAAGTCATGGAAAAGTTAGGTGTGCTGTTCATATCTGCACCTCAAGGTCAAAGCGGCTAAGCCCCATTCCCCAGACTTCGTTAATGGCCACAACAACCTTTCCCAACCCCTTGAGGTGGGAGAGTGGCCAGGCCCTGCCCTACAGGCAAACAAACCAAAAGCCCAAGATCAAGCCACAAAATCCCTCCAATCCCAGGCCACACTGAAAAACTCAGTACCCCAAGAAACCCTATATAAAGTCTGATTTCTGCTCCGTTCTTTGCTGCTCCTCTCCAGAGCACAGGCAGTCACTCTCTTGTCTTTTTCAATTAAGTCTCATGGGACACTTGCTGTGCAGTGTGACTTTGGGGTATTTCTTGGTTCCTGACTTCGAGGATACCTTTGACCTCAAAAGCGGCAACATCACAATACCCTCTACACAAAAAAGTATGTGTGGGTGATGTGGGAGTCACACACCTAAGATCATTTCCGGTTAAGCTAAATGCAACAGAATAGTTGGTGACAAGATGGAGGAAGGCAACCAACTTCAGCAAAGCCTGGGGATGGGGACTCAACAACTGAACTGCTACCACATGGGGGGGATCCAGCTGTGGACTGAAGTATTTGAAGGACATATGTCCATATTGAAGAATCTATAGACTGGTGGACTAGCTATAATAGGTGATTGTGGAAAAAGGGTCTATTGCACATTGAGAGCCAAAATATCTTGGGCTATCTTTAGATCCCTTAATAACCATTTCTACCAACCTCTGGATGTGACCTAACCTCTTTGTAACTACCAGGTAGAACTTGTGGAATACATGTTCTGGTTTTGAATCTTGGAGACAGTGTCTCACTATATAGCCAAGGCTGACCTTGGACTTGCTATATAGTACATGCTAGCCTCAAACTCATAATTGTTCTGGTTTTGTCTTTGAAATACCAGGGGTTAGGTGTCACTCACCCTACTTGGAATGCACTGTTGAACTTACAGGACACCAGCCTGGGCCAACCCTGAAGCTGAGGATGCTATATGGTAGCACCTGAAGTTCATAGAAGACATTTCCTTTTCCTGCTGTTGTGACCTACCTGATGTCTCAAATAATGTATTTGGTAAATACACTGATTCATGACTTTCTTTTATTAATATTATTCTTTAATTTGTATTAGTACTTTCCCTGCATGTATGACTACATGAGGTGTCAGGTATGAGCTGCCATGAGGGTGCTGGGAATTGACCCTGGGTCCTCTGAAAGAACAACTTAACTGCTGAACCATTTCTCCAGTCCTGATTCATGACTTTCTTTTGTTCTGTGACTATAAACGTTTATCAAACTGATGGGGAATGTCCTTCTGTATATATGTTTCTCTTATTGGTTGATGACTAAAACGCTGATTGCTCATTAGCCAGGCAGGCAGTACAGGCAGGGCTACCAGACGAGAATTCTGGGGGAGGACACAGAGAAGAACCACTAGAGAGACACCATGTAGGCACTGAAGGAATAACAGGTCCGGGCATTCTCTGATAAACCAACACCACATGGAAATACTTAGATTAATGGAAACGGGTTAATAATTAAGAGAGCTAGACAATAAGAAGCCTGAACCATCAGCCAAACAGTTTATAATTAATATAAGTCTCTGTGTGTTTATTTGGGGCTAAACGGCTGTGGGACCAAGTGGGACAGAAACTTCCATCTACATGAAACTGGATAGGTGGGTGAGATGGCTCAGCAGATAAAGTTACTTGCTATGAAACCTGGGTTCAATCCCAAGAACCCACATGGTATGAAAGCTGATTTCTATACAAGCTGTGACCTGGCCTCCAGATGCATGCCATAACACACACACACTAGATAAAATAAATTTAATAAAAAATGTTTTTTAAGTTTATAACTCCTCTTTCACAGAAACATGCCATTCTGGGTAATTTTGTGTTGCTGAGGTATGGACACCCATTTAGCTTAGAATAGGCTCCTATCCCCTTTGGAACAAGATTTTTGCTTTGCATCTGAACAGGGATAAATGATAATAATATGGCAGAGGGCTGGCTCAATTGGGTAAATAACCGGCCACACAAGCAGGAGGACCTGAATACAGATCCCAGCACCCATATAAACATTTGAGTGTGCCAACATACACCTGTAACCCCAATGCTAGGGAAGTGGAGAAAGGTAGATCCCCAGAGCTCACTGGCTATGCAAACTAGTCAAATTAATGAGCTCCTGATTCAGTGAAAGACCCTGTGTCAAAAAATAAGGTTGGGGCTGACTAGATAGCTCAGAGTGTAAAAGCATTTGCTATGCACATCTGATGACTTAAATTTGTTCATTGGAACTCATGGTAGAAGGAGCAAACTAACTTCCAAAAATCTTCTAACCTCCGTGTGTTTTGTTTGCATGCACACACCAGCATCCCCACATATTCTAAAGACAAATAAATTAATTAAAATGAGTAAAGAGTGATCAAGGTGGAAGGCAGAGGTAGGTGAAACTCTGAGTTTGAGGTCAGTGTAGTCTATGTAAAGAGTTCCAGGACAGCCAGGAGACTGTTACACAGAGAAACCCTCTCTCGAAAAAAAAACCAAAATAATAACAACAAAAAAGTCTCTGACATGGCAAAATCTAACTTTCTAAGAGGATATCTTAAGAGTTTCTTAGGCAGGAAAAGCATTACTGTACTACAAACCTAAGCGCATATATATATATATACATATACATATATATATATATGTATATGTGTATATACATATATATATTCTCTGTATAGCTTTGGCTGTCCTGGAACTCTGTAGATCAGGCTGGCCTCCATGGAGATCTGGAGATCTGCTTTTCTTTGCCTACCAAGTGCTGGGATTAAAGGCATGCACAAATAAAATCATTTTATTCAATGAGTTGAACTACTCATTATGTTCTAGCCCTCTTCTGAATTAACAGCTGTGACCACATACTAGGTAAAGAATGGAATTTTGATTACTGGACGGATAAAATGACTCTAATGAAGTCCTCAATTCACTATTTGTTATTGAACAAAGTCAAAACAAGAATGACAGAAGAAGCCAGGTGGTGGTGGCACATGCCTTTAATCCCAGCACTTGGGAGGCAGAGGAAGGCAGACCTCCGTGAGTTTGAGACCAGCCTGGTCTACAAGATCTAGTTCCAGGATAGCCTCCAAAGCCACAGAGAAACCCTGTCTTGAAAAACCAAAAAACAAACAACAAAAAAGAATGACAGAAGACCCTGGGTGGTAGTGGCAGAAGCCTTTAATCCCAGCACTTGGGAGTCAGAACTAGGCAGATCTCTGTGAGTTCAAGACTAGTCTGGTCTATAGAGTGAGTTCCAGGACAGTCAGAGCTACACAGATACCCTGTCTCAAAAATCAGAAACAAAAGAATGACAGAAGAATCATGAATTAGTACCAGACCAAGTTTAATTTGATTAGGCAAGGAAATAAATGACTTGTACATTTTTTGTCAGGCATGGTGAGACACCCCTTTGATCCTAGCACTCAGGAGGCAAAGGTCAGGCTGGCAGATCCTTTGATCCTTGAGGCCAGCTACAATTGTATAGTGAAACCTGTCTCAAGGGAAAAAAAAAAAAATTCAGTTTTTCTTTTCTTTTGAGACAAAGTCTCATGTAGCCCAGACTGGCCTCAAACGCATATAGCTGAGAATAAACTTGAACTTCTGAGCTTTCTGACTTTACCTCTGGCTTTCTGGGATTACAGCTATGTTCCACAAAACACTTTTTCTGTTTATTTTTTTCTTTCACAGGAACATTACATACAGATACTAATCAGTTTGGGGCAGAAAAATGTTACAACACACACACACACACACACACACACACACACACACACACA